GTTGTTGTATTATGTAACCCTGCCATAAACGAAGTTGGCATCCCATACTGAGGATTTCTGGGTCTCAAAGGTTCGAAACCTGGAGGCCTAGGGGGGGTCGAATACTGTTGATTCCCTATGTGTGGTGCAGTTTGCACTGAAGACACGTTTGATGGCATGTCTAATGTACTTACTGGGATCGTATTCGAATTTCCAACATGAATGGCATTGGAGGCATCAATCGAACTTGAAACGATTGTTGCAGCCCCCTGTGGGGGATTCTGTACCCCATCTTGGTTGGTTGTATTAACCATTGTTTTGGTACGTTGTTTTCTGGGTATATGTGGATTGTTATTCTTTATTTTGCCGCTTCGAAGGTTCATGTACCGAAACGCGCTCCACACTCAAAATCCTAAAACTTCTCTAATATGTTTGATAAAACTTTTTGTTATGACACTGTCCCACCGGGTGTGCCAATTTGTTTACAGTGATTTCTAGTAAACAACTGCTAGTCTTCCAATTTACTAATTATTATTGGTTACTTGCAAGATCGACTAGATTGATCCTAGAACATATGTGTCATAACTTATTTCCATGTTCATATGTATTATCTTGATAGACTTATATTTTATGCTAAGTTTGAATATGAGATTCTTAGGAAAGATTTCTAAAATGGTCTATAGGAATAAAATAACTGAATGTAGGAAGGAAAGGCTTCGAATTAGACTTGGGCTTGAATGTAAAGATAAGTGTTTGAATAAAAGGATAAAGTGAAAGTAAAGTTTTTAACGAAGTAACTGTGTTTAAAGGCAAGTAAAACAAGGAAATGCAAGGAAATCGAAGGATTTAAAGGGCAGAAATATTGTAATAGCGAACTAAAATATAAAAAGACTTGTATTGAAATTGTAAAAAATGATGATGTTCAATACGTACATTGTATCTTCTTACTCTTTTCCCTTAATTCACGGTAGTTTGAGTGTTTTGAGATCTTTTAGTACATAAAAGTGAACATATCCAAATCTAACATAAGAACACCTATTTATAGTGTCTTGACCCTAACGGTCCTATTCTAAAATCACGCCACGTTCGAAGCATGCAGGCTTCCTATGTTTACTGACTTCCACGCGTCTTCTAGAATGACGCTCTTTATTTAAAATTCGAAATCCATACCAATCGAAACATCTTGTTTCTTCGTCTCTTTCGAAATAACCCAATTACCTGGACCGTTTCCAATTTCTGGCACCCTTGCATAAAGGAGCTCTTTATAATTCGAACACTAAAAAAGTCCAAATCCAAATTCTCTGGAAATTGAATAATCCTTCAGCATAATGACTCCATATTTCCCACCAATATCCAATTTTGATATTAATCTCCTTAGGTACTTTATTCGAAATATTATTTTGATAGTGGTTTCTTCCTTATTCGAAATAGCCAGCTAACAGATTTATGAAGAGGATAATAATTCTCATTACAAGATTATCATTGAGAAGAGGGATAAGTACCAATAGAATCTTGATAAGCCTTATGATACCCCAGCTGGTAAAGGTAAATAGAAAGTTGCTCAGGGTCAGAGGACTAGTGGGGGGAGATGCTCCTGCTGGTGTGGTTTGTTTTAAATGTGGGCAACCTGGGCATAAGAGTAATGTGTGTACTGCTGGAGTAAAGAGGTGTTTCCGTTGTGGTAAGAATGGGCATGTTGTATCTGAGTGCAAGCATAAGGATGTGATTTGTTTCAATTGTAGCAAAGAAGGGCACATTGGTAGTCAGTGCCAGAAACCAAAGAGCGCGCAGACAAGTGGCAAGGTGTTTGCTTTAGTTAAGGATCAGACAACTGCTGAGGACAGACTTATCAGAGGTACATGTTTCATTAATAGTACTCTTTTAATTACTATTATTGATACCGGTGCTACTCATTGCTTTATTACTATTGATTGTGTTGAAAGATTGGGTCTTATGTTGTCTTATGTCTCATGTTTCTTTCGTTTGAGATAGCAACATGGCCTAAGGCCATACTAGCATTACCTTAGGGTCAGGTTAGTTCTTAAAGCATTTGTAACAAACCAAAGAACAAAACCAAAAGGAGAGGCAATAAAAACAAACTAAAAGGGTGGAAACGAAAAGGAAACAAATACTATGTACATGTTTGAAACGAAAAGGAAGCTTATTTACATGTTATGCTGGAAACGAAGGATCCAAGGTTAAGAATAACTTACCTTGCTTGAGGCTGGGACGTGTGATGGGCCTTTACGTGGTTGCCTTGAATGCTTCTGGATTCGAAGGGAGGAACCAAGGGTTATGCCTTTGATAATGGATTCGAAAGAGAAGAACTAGTGTGAGGTTCTTCCTACTGGATTCGAAGGGCGACAAGGTGTGGGGATATTTTAGATTTGAAGGGGACAAATGCTTAGATTCTGGGTTGGTGTTTGATGAGTGTTTTAGTGTTTGAGAATTTGATGATGTTTGAGAAATTTTTGAAGATTCGTTCCTCTGGCCAAAAAAGTCCCTCTTACACTATTGTGGAGCTTCTTACTTATAGGTAAAGCTGATTGAAGCTTTTGGAGGAAAAACAAAATAATTTGAACAATTTGAGTAACCTGCTTTTGTAGCCTTCGAGGGACAGTGCTTTGTATGCCATTTTGGTGCAAGCTTGGCGCAGTGTTTCAGGACTGCTATACAGCAGCTTTGGCCAGTGTACTAGGCCTGAACTTGGCAGCAAGCATCTTTGAACATTTCATTCTTTCGTCTTGACCCTCCTTCGACCAGATTCCTCTTCCAACAATGTTATTTGATTTTCCTCCAACAAGTATCCTTCGAATGGGTTACTTTTGTGCATCTTTCAAAGGAGCCAAATGTGTGACCCTTGGATGGGTCACCAAAACATGCCTTAAGGTGGACTTTGTAAATCCTTCGAAAGGGCCCTCAAGCATGTCCTTCAAATGGGATGCCCAGACGTGTCCCTCGAATGGATCATGTATGCTTATTTGAAAAGGGCCAAATGTGTCCTTCGAATGGGCTAGTAAGATGTACCCTTCGACAGGGAATCATATGTATGCCCTTCAAGTCCACCACTATATATCTTTTGAAGGGGCCATCAAACATGTGTGCTGAAGTTTGTCAAGGATGGAAATGCAGCATACTAAAGAGAAATGTTGTCCAGTCGAAGCTAGTACAAACATAGCCAATGTCTCGTCGAAGCCTGCATGCAGGAGGTCTAAACTTTGTGACTCCAAGCAAGCACACAAAAGGTCAATGCTCAAACAAAGACTTGCATGAAGGGAGCCACATGCCCAAATGAAAGAGGCATGCAGGAGGTAAAAATTTCCAGATTCGAAAGAGGCATACAAGAGGTAAAAAAGTGCAATCGAAGGATGCCAAAAGGGATATTTTTTCCTTGGAATCGAAGGAAGCTATAGGAGGCTTTGTACCTTGTGTATGCTAGCATGGGGGAAGCCTTTTGCGCGCAAGAAAGAAGTTGTGGCTCAAACGAAAGCTTGTATGTAACTAGTCATTACTTTGTGAGTCAAGGCAAGCATGGAGGGAAAGTTTGTATAGGCATGCAAACATCAAACATCCAAACGAAACAGGCATATAGGCAGTCATGACATTGTGAACCCAGTGAGGCCAGAGATGCAATCGAAGGTGGCATGTAGGAAACTCCTGCCTTGTAAATCAAAGCCAGCATGCCAGAGGCCAACGCCCGGTCGAAGGATGCAACCAAAGCCTGCATCGAAAGAGGCCAAAAGGCCAATCGAAGGAGCTGAATTGAAAGGACTTGTTTTTCTCCAATTTTGTCAAAAGATTATTTTTATCTGTTTTCTTCCTCTTTTTTTTGACAGATTCCTTTTCAACTTGGTACTAGAAAATCCAATTGTACTTGTGCAAGCTTGAACCTTGAGAATCCTTGTGAGAAATGCCTTGAAAAATGAGAGGGCAAATTTTGGGGTACAACACCAGGCTATTCTTATAACATTCTTGAGCGATCTTCTGGTCTCCTTGAATCATACTGACTCACCCACTAGGCAGCGAGTACTTTAGGACCATGTATTAGGTGTGAATAATCGCTCCTAATGTATTGATGGCGGGTCAGCCTAGGATGATATTGTAGGGAGACATGGCATCCACGATAAGGTAGCTGACTTCAATCGTCTTGGTGTCTACTTCCTCGTCACATATTATCTCGAAGGTCACGTGGCCCCTTACATGCACATGTTCGCCAAACAATCATATTAACGAGCTCCTGAACACTTTGACATCGTTAGGATTGAGCTGAAGCTTCATAAGAGCACCCCTAGAATAAAATGTTAGCAGAAGTCTCAGGATCTATCAAGACTCGCTTGATATCTCAGTTTCCATGTTGCACAGTGATGACCATAGGGTCACTATCATGAGGATTGTCTTCGATGACATCCTTTTCAGAAAAGGTGATGTTAACTCTTGTTTCCCCTCGTTCGCCTCTAGGAAAACCATAAGATATCACATTCGCAACAAACATATGCCTTGCATATTTCCTTTAAGAGGAGCTGAAACTTCCTCCAAAGTGAAACCCCTATTTATAGTGTTTGTATTAGAGCGAATTAGTTCGGTTTGAATCATTTAATAAATCAATTCAAAATTTAATTTGATAAGAGCGGATTAAATAAGAGAAAATCCAAACACATCCAATACTTTTAGAATTTTTTAGGATGAATTTATAATTTTTATTTAAATCGATTTGAATTCATAATACTTAATTCAAAAAAAAATTAAATGCTACATGCATATAATCTATTACTACTAACTAGCTTTTTCAGTCTAGCAAGTAACAAAATTGTTTCTATTTAATATATTATACTAATATTTTTATCAATACTAATGAATTCTTCTATATTAAGTATCTTAAAAACAGTATATTAAGTATCTTAAAGCTCATATTTTTAATTTGTAACTGAATTCCCATTCCTACGTGATACCTTAAGACATACACATACATATATAGGGTTTTCAACTGAGTTGAGATCTTGAATGCAAACAAAGTAACAGTGATGGCACGCGCCACTGAGGTACATGACAACTCTTCACCATCATCATCAACACAAAACCATGAAACCAAAACGAACCAGAAAGTTCCATTCTATAAGCTCTTCAATTTCGCCGATCGTCTCGATGTAACGTTGATGATCATTGGCACTATCGCTGCTGTGGCTAATGGCTTGTCTCAGCCTCTCATGACACTTATCTTTGGGAAACTCATCAATGCTTTTGGTGGCTCTGATTCATCAGCCATCGTTAAACAAGTTTCTAAGGTATATAAATATTACTGCATGGTATTTTCTTTCTCTTTAATGCATGTGTTCTTGTTAACGTAATATAATTATCAAGAAAGTTATGAAGCCAAATACTTGGAATTTTAACGTTAAAAATTCATGTTAGAATCATAAAAGAATAATTACATTTTAGGTTCTTTTCAAACCAATCATGCATGGTGAATCTATAATTTGTAGCTGCTAACTTTCTTTTTATATGGTATTTTCACTCTACAAAATAACCTAATTTAGAAATACATGATTTATTCTTACTAATTATGTATTCATTTAGTTTAAATTGAAATTGCACACTCTAGTAATCAATGAACTTCGGTTCGAAAAAACTCTAGGGTTAAGAAAAAAAATCAGATATTCGTTACCAAAATGGATTATGGCATAGCATAATTTAACACACTTCAAATTTCAGGTATCACTGTTATTTGTTTACTTGGCTGCTGGAGCTGGAATAGCGTCGTTTCTACGTAAGACCTCACTTTGTTGCTTGTTTATTTTGTTGAAGAGTAGTTCTTGAATTAATTCTGATGATAAGGGTTTTTTTTGTTGCATGCTGTAGAGGTATCTTGTTGGATGGTGACAGGAGAAAGACAAGCTGCGAGGATTCGTAGTTTGTACTTGAAAACAATATTGAAACAGGATATTGCGTTCTTTGACACTGAAACAAACACAGGAGAGGTGATTGGTAGAATGTCTGGTGACACAATTCTCATTCAAGATGCAATGGGAGAAAAGGTATAAAATTCACGATCCTCTATGTTTTCGGTAGAAATGAAATGAGAACATGTTATAATTATGACAGGTTGGGAAGTTTGTTCAGCTTGCTTCGAATTTTTTTGGTGGCTTTGTGATCGCGTTTATAAAAGGATGGCGTCTAGCTGTAGTTTTACTTGCATGTATGCCTTGTGTTATTTTTGCTGGTGGTTTCATGTCCATGCTGATGGCTAAAATGTCAAGCCGCGGACAAGTTGCTTATGCTGAAGCAGGAAATGTGGTTGATCAAACAGTTGGAGCCATCAGAACAGTAAGAAACTTGCATCAAATTGTAAACCAATGAATGATTAAGTTGAGTTTGTATTTTTAATTGTCTTAAAACTTTATTTTGAAAATTTGTCAGGTTGCATCTTTTACTGGTGAGAAAAAAGCCATAGAGAGGTATAATAGCAAGATAAAAGTTGCTTATACTACAATGGTTCACCAAGGGATAGTCTCAGGGTTAGGAATGGGAACGCTTCTCTTAATCGTTTTCTGCACTTATGGACTTGCCATGTGGTATGGTTCCAAACTAGTTATTGAGAAAGGATATAACGGTGGAAGTGTCATTACTGTGATCATAGCTCTTATGACTGGTGGAATGTAAGTGAAGCATTGGTACCTGATTGAATAAACTGCATAGATATTGATACGACATTGTTTTAGGCATAAAGTTTTTGTTTATGAATTTTCATTGATTGACAGGGCACTAGGTCAGGCATCCCCGTGCATAAACGCATTTGCTGCAGGACAAGCAGCAGCATATAAAATGTTTGAGACAATTAAAAGAAAGCCCAAAATTGATGCATATGACACAAGTGGTGTTGTCTTGGAAAACATAAAGGGAGATATTGAACTCAAAGATGTTTATTTTAGATACCCTGCAAGGCCAGATGTGCAGATATTTGCTGGATTCTCACTGTTTGTTCCAAGTGGCACAACTACTGCTTTGGTGGGTCAAAGTGGAAGTGGAAAGTCTACTGTAATCAGTTTATTGGAAAGATTCTATGATCCTGATGCTGGAGAAGTGCTTATAGATGGTGTGAATTTGAAGAACTTGCAACTTAGATGGATAAGGGAACAGATTGGGTTGGTTAGTCAAGAGCCTATCTTGTTTACTACTACTATCAGAGAGAACATAGCATACGGGAAAGAAGGTGCAACTGATGAGGAGATAACAGCAGCAATAACACTTGCTAATGCCAAAAATTTCATTGACAAACTGCCTCAGGTGTGTATAATATTGAAAACTTTGATCATGTTTGATTGAAAATAATAATCATGTGAAATTGTGTTTGCAGGGCCTTGACACCATGGCGGGACAAAATGGTACTCAACTTTCTGGGGGTCAAAAGCAAAGAATTGCAATTGCGAGAGCAATATTGAAGAACCCGAGGATCCTGCTTCTTGATGAAGCGACAAGTGCATTGGATGCTGAGTCAGAACGTATTGTTCAAGAAGCATTAGAAAAAATTATAGTAAAAAGGACTACTGTTGTTGTTGCGCATCGTTTGACAACTATCAGAAATGCTGACACAATAGCAGTGGTTCATCAGGGAAAAATCGTAGAGAGAGGTTGTTATACAACGACACATAATAATTTTAGTATGAAGAACCAATTCTGTTGCATCTTAGAATACTGTATTCACTTTTACATGCTTCTTTTTTTTTCCGTAGGAACTCATAGCGAGTTAACCATGGATGCTTACGGTGCTTATTCTCAACTTATTCGTCTACAAGAAGGAGAAAAAGAAGCTGAAGGTAGCAGAACATCTGAAGCAGATAAGTCAGGTGACTGTTTAAATATAGAAAGTCACATGGCTAGATCTTCTACCCAAAGACGCTCTTTTATGAGATCAATAAGCCAAAAATCATCAGCAAGTTTTGGGCGTTCTCAGTCACAAAGAGGCTTGTCTGGAGAAATAAAAGGAGATATTGAACAAGGTCAACTTGATAATAAGGAAAAGCCCAAAAGGGTACCTCTAACGCGTTTGGCTAAGTTGAACAAGCCTGAGGTTCCTGTCATACTGCTTGGAAGCATTGCTGCAATAATACATGGTGTCGTGTTCCCTATATTTGGCCTGTTGTTTTCATCAGTCATTAGTATGTTTTTTAAACCTCCAGACCAGCAGAAGAAAGAGTCCAGGCTATGGTCACTTCTATATGTAGGTTTGGGTTTCGTTACTCTAGTGGTTTTACCACTGCAGAATTACTTCTTTGGGATTGCTGGTGGAAAACTTATTGAAAGAGTTCGTTCGTTGACATTTGAAAAGATTGTGCACCAAGAAATTAGATGGTTTGACAATCCTGCAAATTCAAGGTATGTTTACAATGTATTTTACTACAAGATAAAATAAAGAAACAGTTATCATGTATTGATTCCTTCTACTCATGAAACTGAAAGAAATGAATCACCTTGCAGTGGTGCAGTAGGTGCAAGGCTATCTACCGATGCTTCAACTGTGAAAAGTCTTGTTGGTGACACATTGGCCCTCGTTGTGCAAAATATATCAACAATCACAGCTGGTCTAGTTATAGCATTCACTGCTAATTGGATTCTTGCTTTTATAGTTTTGGCTGTGTCACCTATGGTTCTTATGCAAGGATTCGTTCAGATGAAGTTTCTTAAAGGATTCAGTGCTGATGCCAAGGTTAGTCTTACTAGCAGTTTTTGTCAATTACATTGCGAAAATTTACATTGTGGAATCATGAGTTTTTTTTCTTCCTTTTATCTATGTAGGTGATGTATGAAGAGGCGAGTCAAGTGGCAAATGATGCTGTTAGTAGCATAAGAACTGTTGCATCATTTTGTGCAGAATCAAAGGTGATGGACATGTACAAGAAAAAGTGTTTAGGGCCAGAGAAACAAGGTGCTCGCTTGGGGCTTGTTAGTGGAGCAGGATTTGGTTTCTCTTTTTTAGCTCTATATTGCACAAATGCTTTCACTTTCTACATAGGATCTATTTTAGTGCAACACGGGAAAGCAACGTTTCAAGAGGTTTTCAGGGTACAATCATTCAATCAACTTAGCATGCTTTAATTTTACTTGATGTTTTTATTTTGATCTGGTTCTTACAAGATAATATATGCAGGTTTTCTTTTGTTTAACAATGACAGCAATCTCCGTTTCACAGTCTAGTGCATTGGCACCAGATGCTAACAAGGCGAAAGATTCCACAGCTTCAATATTTGAAATTCTTGACAGCAAACCTGATATTGATTCCAGCAGCAAGGAGGGTGTAATGCAAGAAACGGTAGTTGGTAATATTGAACTTCAACATGTCAGCTTTAATTACCCAACAAGGCCACACATTCAAATTTTCAGAGATTTAAGCCTAAGCATCCCGTCTGCAAAGGTAAACTTTTGGTTGTACAAATCAGTTTATGACAATGTGTTATGTATTTAAATTGACAATCTATGTCTTTGCAGACTGTTGCGTTGGTTGGAGAAAGTGGCAGTGGAAAATCAACAGTTATAAGCCTTTTAGAGAGATTCTATGACCCTGATTCTGGACATGTGTACCTAGATGGAGTGGATATCACAAAGTTCAGATTAAGCTGGTTGAGGCAACAAATGGGTTTGGTTGGTCAAGAGCCTATTCTTTTCAACGAAAGCATTCGTGCCAACATAGCTTATGGCAAAGAGGGAGGTGCTACCGAGGATGAGATAATTGCAGCAGCTAATGCAGCCAATGCACACAGCTTCATAAGTTCTCTTCCAAATGGTTATGAAACCTCTGTTGGGGAAAGAGGCACACAACTATCAGGCGGACAAAAGCAACGTATTGCTATTGCAAGAGCCATGCTGAAAAACCCGAAAATACTTTTGCTTGATGAGGCGACAAGTGCACTTGATGCCGAGTCAGAGCGTATAGTTCAAGAGGCTCTAGACAAAGTGAGTGTGAACAGAACTACTGTGGTCGTGGCTCACCGTCTTACAACAATTCGAGGGGCTGATACTATAGCAGTAATTAAAAATGGGGTGGTTGCTGAAGAGGGAAGACATGATGTGTTGATGAAGATTACTGATGGTGTTTATGCTTCTTTAGTAGCTCTTCATTCAAGTGCATCATAAGATATTTCTCTTTATGATCCTTTTGTATCAGTCGAACAAACTATTTTAGGATTTAGTTCTTAGATGCAAGTTTCATTACTTTTCCCTATTGGTTTTGCTTTAGATTCTAAATATAAACATTCGGGTATGTGCGGACTAAAATATATTAAAGAGCAATATGATGTCTTCACAAACCTCTTCTATGTTGGAAGCACCGAAGTTATCTATTGGCTGGATGGCTTGTGCTTGGCAAAGAAACGGTTTGTTTGAGGCAGATTGCATAGGGATTCGGCACAACTGGCTTTGTTGTTTCTGCTGAGTAACCTATCAATTTTAACTTCTTAGAGATAGTGGTTACTAAAATTTAACTCTAAAAAATATTGATTTCATCATTGTAGTTAAGAAAATTTTAACTGAGTATGCCATTTATACACTCAACCGAGTAATTCAAATGGCAAATATGGCATCAAATTTGGACTCGCATAGCACTTAAAGTTTTTAATCGGACCAATATGGCCGGTATGCTTAGCAAGTTGAGTTCCAATATTGTCTCGCAACATAAATTCGCACATGTATAGAATGATCAGAATGGACAAATTATGTCAACGATTTTTTCATACCAAACTGTTAATAACTTAATGGTTAACAATGCATAAAGTATAGATTCATATATTGATGGATCAACGAAAAATTGTTCATTAGACCAACCTTTGCGTTTTCACTGAATCCTTATAGAAACTTGGTTTGAATGTATCCTTGTATGAGCAACAATCCTGAAACAGCTAGAACCACAAAAGATAGAATCCAATTAGCACTGAATGCTATAACTAGTCCTACCATTGTATAAGACCCTTCAATGCAAAAATGTACAGCTCATTAGCTTCAAACAATCATGAGTATATTAATTCATACAAAAATGTTCACTGATATGCGACGTATCACCCGACCCTCGATGTGTGTATGGTGTTGGTATATGACATTGATGCATGTAATTAAGTTAAACGACTTTATTTGACTTTATTTTTCTCAAAAATATTATCGGTGTCTGTGTTGTTATTGCTTTAGTTATCTCTTCATCAGTTGCACCTTATTTCCCATATGCTATGTTCACCTTGATATTAGCAGTAAACAAACAGGCTCTTGACCAACAAGACCAATCTGTTCTTTTATCCATTTAACTCAAAAGATGTTCAAGTTGACACCATCTTTAAGCACTTCTACACCTTCAGGATCATAAAATCTTTCTAATGAATTGATTATAGTTGATTTTCCACTACCAATTTGACCGACTAAAGCAGCAGTTGTACCACTTGGAAGTTGGAATATAGAATGAGAATCCAGCTAAGATCTGCACATCTGGCATTGCAGGGTAGCAAAAGAGAAGCTGAATTTGAAACATTGCAGAGTTAAGAATCAAATTACAGACATCATAACGAAAGGTGTACAGGTCGAAGTGTTTAAGAAATTAAAATCTATGATGAATGTAGTTAACTTAAATACAAGGAATTAGGTTGTGTGTTGAGAATGTAATTCCTTGTGTCGAGCATGTTGCTCGACAGAAACAAGGTGGTGTCAAAATAGTTTAGTGTGTGTCAAAGTTGTATAGTTATCGAAATAGTTTATGTGATTTTAGATAAAAAAATTATAAAAATCTTTTTAAAAATACAAAAAAATATTTTTCAAATAAAAGTTACAAAGAAGAAAATAAAACCAAAATAATATTTAAGCAGAAACATATTTATAATCTATAAAATAAGAAAATCGACTATTTTCTTCCAAAAGCCGACACATGACTTCCTCCTATTTTTCATCTTTTGTATTTTCTATTATTTTTATTTTATTTATTTATTTGGATCTCAATCCTTCTACCTCTCTCACCTTTTCCATTATTGACTATTTAATCTACACGTTACAATATGCACTTACCATAGTAGTTGACCTTGTTCTTCATCTTCTTTTTTTCGCATAGCTCTAACAATGAAGAAACTCTCTTTCTCCTTCCCTTCTTCAAAATCTTCATCTGAGTCTAACAATTTCGGCAAACCCTCCCAAACCTTCGACGAGGATTCTTCCACCAAACAAGATCTTTAAAAACAGTTAACACCGAATTCGATCCTTCCAAACCCTAGACCCCAATCCCAAAACCCAAATTTCCCCAATCGAAAATCAATGGCGTGCGCACCAAAAAAATAAAGAATCTTGACCTTTCCATCACTGATTCGCACTCTTCCCATTCCCTCGCTTTCGAACCGGACATCTCTTCGATATCCGATCAACCTGATTCTGACAAGTCATTTTACGGTCTCAACCTCCATTCAGGAATCCCGAGAACAAGAAACATCTAGGTGACGATGATGCTCTGAGGCCCATAGTTTCAATTGAGGCTAAGAGAGAGAAAAATCAGTATTACTGGAAAGAAACTCGAGGATGAATTGACTCGTGAAGTCCCAGGCATCACTGCGTCACATGTTTGTAAATTGCTGCAACATATTTCCAAATATTTATCAAAAAAAATTATTTTATGAAAAAATGCAACATCAATGATAAGTATGTTTTGCATTTTGAACATTAACGTTGATGTATAAGTTTTGTTTGAGCTCCTTGATCTAGAAAGTGGAGAGTGGTTAGAAGATGCAAGTGAATTTGATCCTCAACTACTATGCAACAAACGATATGTATCAAAAACAGGATAAATATGATATTAGGTTTGTTAGCTTTAGCTTCAAAGGATCTCAGAGTAAACTGCAGTGTCTTTCAAAAATATATAAAATAGTTAATAGATATCTAATTTTTGACTTCGTTGTTCAATTTTTTGTCTTATCATACTGTTGCAGGTACTTTCAACACAAGTATTTAATTTATCGTTTTCCTCAGGAATTGGTGTGATATTACTGTCGTTCTACAGTTATAATCGTTTTAAGCTTAAGTTTCATAAAAGGGTTTGATGTTAGTTTTAGTAACAAAAAAAATGTCGATTTCATGCAAAATATCAAGTTTAGGTAAAACAAAGTTTTGGTTTCAAATGTTTGGTAAAAGCATGTCAAAATTAGGGCTCGATAATCTCTTTCGGACGTATTCTCTCAATCAGGTATGTGAATTCATTAATCATAAATATAATCACATATCCTCTCAAGATGTTTCATCTCTAAAACAAAATGTGAGTTTTATCAAATTGATCTTTAGATGATCTCTCTACCTAACTATCAATTTGATAATTTTAAAAGCTCAATATTAGTGAATATCAACTCACAAAACTATGTCTAGAAATTGTTCATTGATAAGTGAAAACCTAGGTCTAGAGATGAACACACTTCTCAATAATGATCAACTCAAATATAAACCATAAAACAAGAATTTTCACCATATATTTATCATCAAGATATTCACATACAAATGATCAAACTAAATACATACAAAAGGAAGATTATCTACCTCTAATCTTGACACCAAGAAAGATTTATCTACCCATCTGTTGGCTCCTAAATTCGACACCCTTGTTTTTATTAATATAAGCCATTAAAGCTGAAGAATGGTTTCGACCAGCTGGTTCTGTCGAAATGCTCATCAGAAGATGGCAATGTACTTAGAGAATTTCTTCCAAGGAAGAATCTTGTTGCCTTCGACGTCGAAGGTGCTTCTCGACGAAGGCGTTCGATTGCTCAGAGTGGAACGGTTTGAGATTCAAACGTTTAGAGGGAAAACGGTTCCCAGCGGTTACCAAGTGCAATGTGCCAAGATCTGGAGCGTCGAACGCTGTGAACGTGCCAAGTGGAGTCATCTCGAAGCAGCGTAACCGCCCGACGGTTACTTGGGATGTGTTTAGTATAAATATTAGTAGTTCACGCAGTTTTTCGCGTGTGTTCACAATTATATACAAGTTACTCATATAGATTCGAGTACCCAGCGTGAGAGAAAGAATTGTTGAGAATGTATGTGTGAAACACCACTTTAATTAATCAAAGTCATTTATTTTCCAGAACTTTATTGCTCTTCATTTACTTTTCCAGTCGAAGCCTTTATTTCAAGCTTTCCTTTATTCTACCAAGTTTTCTTCTCCATGCAATTTACATAAAGCTTCTTTATTTCCTTGTCATTTAACCATTATCAAACTTAGTCAAAACCCCAAAATCAACCATGTCTTAGGATCAATCTGATCGATCCTGCGAGTCACCAAATAAGTAACCTTTTGGAAGATCAGTGGTTGTTTACCAATTCCCACGGTAAACAAATTGGCACACCTGGTGGGACCTTGTGTTGATTTTGAAGTTTAACCTTTTTTACACAGAATATCATCTTTTTTGAGAAGTATTGCATGTTATTGAGAAGTGGTAGAATATACACTAATACCAATACTGCTAGAAGAAGAGAAGCGATGGCGAATCCGCCAAACAATAACGAAATCCCACAAACGAATGTGGGAACAACGGTTATCCCAACCGTGAGTGAAGCGATAACCGCTGGTTCAACACCAGCAGTAACGGTCACAACGACGGGGCCATTACCTCCGTTCACTGGCCCCAGAGTGCCTTTAGGAACTCCCCCACCAAGGGGAAATCCAGGAACAAGGCCTTATGTTCCCCCAGGATTTATGACAGGCGGTCAAAATCGAGAACCACTCTATGACATGCCAACTTCTGAATTGGCTAGCCTGACGAACGCTGCGTCCACTTTTTCAGACCCTTTAGTGAGTGCCTCTTCGCCACTCCAAGGTTCTGGAGTAGGTATGGCGAACAGAAATAGGACCCAACTCTTAGGAGGAACGTCCCAAGTAGCACATGGCCTTACAAATGCCTCGACAGCAGTCTTGAGGCAACAAATGGACGAAAGCAACCATGATATGGTTCAAATGTTGGCACAAACTTTAAGTACAGTGCTGAATCCTCTAATACAAAACACCACCCAATCGAATCAGCAGATGACAGCGCAAATGACGCGTCTGGCTGACTTTTTTGGGGTACCCCAACCTATTCGACAGCCCCAAAGGGCACAAATAAGGGGAAACCAAGGTATACTCTTAGAGG